GTATTTGAGGAGATTTGAGGAGATATTACTGAAAAGTATGATCAGTGAAGAAATGTCACAGGCCTATGGGTAGGTAAGGGGGCAAACAGCAAAATAGTCACCCCCCCTTCCCATGGACTGGCAAATAACTTTCTGCTTTGTTGTACATGAAATTCAGAGCAAGTACCCACAGCATCTCTAACACAAAAAAATTCCCATGCTCCATACATAGAAGCATATACAAATCAAGAATAAACAACTTTATGGACACAGGGGATACATATACTCAATTAAAATAATGAAAATAAATCTCTGCAGTGCAGGATGCTAGCAGAATTTTAAAAACATATAATAGGATATTCTTTTGGCCCAAATGAGCAATAGAAATAAAAGAACAACACACATCCTTCATATGCAAGGAACAAGGGAAACATTCACATTAGAATAATACCACAAACCTTGAGAAAGGCCAAAACCTAAGAACTCCCACAGTATTTCCACATTGCTTTGTAAATGAGAGCTTGGGAAATACTTCAGGAAAGTATTCAAACACATCATTTCAAACCAAAACATTTGACAGTATTCACAACCACTTACATTTGTTTTCTGTGAACATTCAGTACAATAGGTAGGTTGTTCCGAAGGATATTTGTGAAAAGCAAAAGTCTTGAATATTTGTGTGACTGTGATTGTGCAAGTATGTGTGTTTGCATCTCCACCTTAAAATCTCCAATTTCCCATTCTGTTCATAAAAGTTTCAGCCATCCAATCAAGGAGCAGAAACAATATCATGTGAGCTATATAATCACTCATATACCACAACAAACAGCAAATAGCTGAAGACCAAATAGTTCATGAACATCCCTTAGGATGAAGTACATTTGTATATGTTTGTCCAACACTTCTGAATCATTAACACATTTGTTAAATCAATGTCAGATAAAAAATTCACAAACCCCAAAGAACGGCTACATTCATGGAATAAATTATTTGCTATGAATAGTTCTTCCATCTGCACTGATAAGTGAAAGCATGATTCCAATTGATGGGTGCAGAGGTGAATATTTAAGAGGAGGGGAACATGCAAAACAAAAAAGCCAGCACTGCTTCTCAAAATTAACACTTTAGTATCAGGAACTGTGAATTTCCAAAGTTGTTAAGACTTATTTATTAATCCATATAATACTTATCCATTAGCTGAAGCATACAAATGGTTAATAGATGACTCTTCAGAAGTGATGAATGCTATGGAGATGAACTACATAGACTAGATTCAAAGGAGGTAAACAGTGGGAAAAGATGATCACTTTTAAAGTTAAAGTTAATCAAAGAAGTGCCGTACATCACCATAATCCAAATCTTCTGGGCATGCTTTGCAGTTAAGTGGCACCTGAATGATTCATAGCACTATTCAAAATGGTGAAAGACCTACTTCATAACCAAAGGAAGTTATACTGTATCAGTAAACAAAAAAATTGCCTTCCAACAAGTAATGAAGGTGCATAAGATAAAGGAGCCAGGGAAAAAATATACAAAGTATGCAAATTTAGGCACAGATCCTACAAACCCTCATATGTATCTTTAATCTTGTACATAAGCAATTCCATTGGCTTCAGTGGGACCACTCACATGCAGAAAACTAAGCCCATGTGTGTCTGCAGGATCAGTGCCAAAGAAGAGAAAATGAAGAGAATTAGAAACTAACTTCAGTTTTATTAAAGTATATTTTATAAATATATTAGTTATGTACTTGTAACATTTCAGATATGATATTAATATGGATGAGAAATAAGGGGCTACAAACACAGAAGTTTCTGAACTGCAAATCCTAAGAAACTGTACTTGTTTCAGAGAGATGCTAACTACACATTTAGTTATAAGTACGGTAACATATCTATTGATTAAAATTACTTATTTTGGGATCCCAGCCACATCCCATCAGCATTATTTATTATATTTGGCATTGAGTATACTAATAATGACCAAGAAAATGTTTGGGAAATTCACTAACAATTTCACTGCTCAGGCATTAATCATGATTATCCATTTCATGTCCTAAGAATAAACAAAGTAACACTGATGATAAACAATGCTGAAATCTTTGTGTGGCTGATTTTCACTTATTCTAAGGTCAACCAACTATCATGTGATACTCCAGCAAAACCCTGTCCATTATTGTTCAATTAATTACAACTTCAGAAAGCAAAATAAACTCAAAACCTCTAAATGGGTGGGGTATGTGCATGCAGGTATGTCACATGCCCGCTTCTGTGTTCTGATGTACACAATGACACAATTTACTACAATCCTACTGTTTTCTTTTTATTCTAACCTCTTGATGACAGCACATCTACTCAATGAAGGGTCTACTACAAGAGTTACATTAACACAGGCATACTGGTGAACAATTCCATTTATGGTGAATATTTTCATGGATAATTAATTCATTATGGAATAATCTTTAGGATAAATATTTAGGTCACTGATATGTCAACAGGAAAAAAGTTGTTTCAGATAATACTGTTCCCATTCAGAAAAAGCAATCAGTATACTTTCAGATATGGTAAACATGAGGGAGGTTTTGTGCATATGGAAGTCAGGATGAGGCAACTGGAACAAACAAACAAACAGCACAACACTGAAGTATAGGCCCAGATACTAGACAAAGTATTATTTTAGTCATCAAACAATCCAGTCCAGATCTGCTCACACCACCCACCAAAAACCAAGATATATATGATATGAAAGAAATTGGTAGAATTTGACCACACACACACACACACACATCTAGAAAACGATGGGAGTTTTCTCAATCTGTTTAAGTATGAATTTTTTCCAGATGGAACTGCAAAACTAATATCAGCCAAAACTCAAAATATATGATCACTCTTCCAGTTTTATTTCTGAGTGGTACCTCAGTGAGCATCAATAAGCTCCAACAGTACAAACAGATCAAGGCCCTACTATAGTCCCATTAACACAGGTAAAATTAGATACAGCCTAAAAGAAAACAGAATCCAGATGGTGAATCCAGAAGGCTGTCCAACACTCAAAATACTGCTGAGAATAAAGAAACAAATGAATTAAATATCTCTAAAAGTCCAGTATAGCAAACGTTTATGAGCCTCGTGTTTATTGAAAGTCTGGTGCCATATGATTTGTTTGGTCAATAGTTTTGTGGCCTCTGCAATAGAAATCTTTCCTCTGAAACAATTCATTTTTATAAGATTTTAGTATCTTGGCATTTTTGTCAACTACTGTAAATACATCAGTCCTCTGCTGCGAAATAATGAAGCTGAAAATTGTGCAATAATTGCACAGACTGATTTTTTCAACATTGTCCACACAAAAATTGAGCATCTCCAAATTCTTACATGTTGGGAACTTCCAAGATACTTTGACTCCCCACGCACACCAGGCCTAAGTTCTTTGAGCACTGCCAACAAGTTGGCTAAATCTTCTGGCTAGTGACCTATCGGATGATTTGTCAACCTACTGAGCTCTGGAACTGGAGATGGTATCTAGAAGCAGGGTCATTGTGGACAGAGATCTGGGCGTGCTAAGCTAGTCTCCACCTTCGAGGTACCCTGGGGTCTTCCATAGCCAATGTTATGCGAGGCCACTGGACTGAGACAGACTTTGTATCAAAAGCAAAAGTCTCATCAGTTAAGTACTGCTTCTAGCTTCTGCAGAATTTCAGAGAGAGGGGAGGAGCCAGTGCAGGAGAGCACTGGAAAGCCCTATCTGAGAAGCAGGATGTTTTGGCATGATAGATTAGATTAGATAAAATAGATAGAATGATGCTGATTAGGAGATATGGTCCTGACAAAATCTTAGCTCTCACCTGTTATCAATCAACTTAAATATATCAATTTCCTTCAAATAAACTAAATTAATTGTCCTTGATATTTCTCTCTCTTAAAATTATTTATATTTTTAAACATTCACTACTATTTTTTGTTGTCTTGGTGGAATTATTACCACCCCAAAAGAAAAAACTTCTAAAGCATGATAAAGGAATTACCGAACCCACTCAAAGTTAGATGATGCTCATTTATCTGTACAGAATTGTCTAGCAACAATAATAAAGTAAACTAAATAAAATGAATTACTGTAGTTAAGTATTACTGTAATTATTTCTTTTACAGCATTCTGAGAAATACATTAAACAAATGAACTGAAGTTCAATTATTCCCGTGTATCCAGAAAAGAGGGCAGAGGAAATTGAGGTGAAAAATAATGGTATCTAGGCTACCTTATATAGTATATAGTTTAACTCACAGAAGACCAAAGGGAAACATTTAAAGTAAATTAGCTGATTTTTGTCTCAGTACCTTAAATCTGAAGCAGAATGTTACCATGAAAAACTCTTCCTGCCCACACTAGCAGGAGAACAATGTATAATTCTTGATAGTTTGAAGTGTATAGCTGATATACAGCATCCATATGCTTTCGCAGTGAAATTACCTTTTTTAAAGAAAAGGTATGCAACTCAAAGTGAAGAATGGGATTCAGAACAGAAGGAAAAGGAGAAGGAAGTCCCTAGACTGGAATTTCAGATGACTCCAGCAAGAATAAAATAGCCTTAAATGTATAAGCTGCTATATTCATTTTCTTCAGCAACAAGACAACACACTTTTCCTGTCATTTTCTTGATCTCGAATATTAGAAGCATATTGCAAAGCCAGTCAGTTTCCTAAAATGCAGATTTAAGACTGACATATACTCTATGGCTTTGTAAAGAACATTTGATATATAAAGATTTAAAATAACAGATTTTTTTTATTCTTGGTGAACTTGTCCAGCTGAACATTTCATCAATTTCTTTTGGTTTTGGAGGACTTATGGAAAAAGATATAGGACAGTGAAATCTGTTAGTTCTTATTCTTGTTACAATGCAAAAAGTTCAATTTTCTCAGAACATTTGAACACAATTATAAACTTCAAAGAGTGATATTAAGAATAATATTAAGAAACAGAGTTGCATATATAACAAAGTGCATGGTCATAACTGTACTTACCCACCAAATGCCTGGATTGCATAAAACTTGGAAGCATCCAAAGAACTTCCACTTACTATTCGAGCCTTTAATGAAGAATAAAAAAAAGCTTAATTACTCAATTTCTGCCAAGAGATTTTGGATAGAATTTAACTGTATCGTACATATAACACCTAATATGAAAAATGTCAAGCAGGGTCAGCTCCAGGCCAAAGCTACATTAATTTTTGCTTTGAAATACATGTGATTAGCATTCAGCATTTAGTGAAAAACACTGGTAAAACCCCGGAGAAGAGATCAGATATTGCCTCCCAAATATCGCTGCCCTTTAAATCCCAGAGTATGTGCAGTGTAGATGATAACTAGTCAGAGGCAAAAATCCAGACACCATGTTTGACAGTAGCAGACCCCTGTATTGGCAACTATGATTTTATAAGATAAGCACAACAGTGAGGCTATCCTGTTTATAAATGCAACACATTTGGAATACACTCAAAGGAGAACAAAAGAATGGAAAGCTGGGAAACATGCACATTTCACAACTAAAATGAAGGAACCAAACAGATCAAATAAGTCACAAACAAACATCAACAAAATACACAACCCCTTAAGGAAATATGTGATTTTAAACCTTTTCATCCACAGAACTGCTATCTGAAAGAGAACCAGGAAGAGGGGGAATAAAGGTTAGATAAAACAGTCTCCAAGAAAATGTGTAAAGTTATGAAAAAAATCTTACAATTCTAGCTTGCTAAAGTAGAAATGAAAGGAACAACAGAAGCTGAGTAACATATATGTTTAGTTTTCTTTAATGTGATTGCTATGACCGTATACTTTGACAAGTGCAAAGATGTTTTAATATATAATGAACCACAGCTACTCACACAAGACTTTTTAGTCGTTAAAGATGTTTATGGTTATTTTATAAACTAGCACTTAATGATGTTCAAATCTAATGTCCAGCTCTGATACATTTACTAATACTAATGAATGCAAAGGTATTTTATTAAGGTAGGACAGAATGTTCATAAAAAGTGGTGATTTCGGATGTAGACTAAGGCTTCGTTCGCAAAGAAAAATAAAATTGCTCTTCAGTCATTTAATGGATATATTAAAATTATTATATTCTAACTATTCTGTTCTACCATGCAGACACAGGAAACTAAAAAAGGAAGGCCAATAATCACTATCATAATTTAATTGTGTGCTTTTTAAATGTGTTATATATTATACAATCAGTTTCATAGTCATACAGTACTTTTCATGTCCACTATCAGATATAAAAATTTACGATGGAAAATGTATGTTTATTTCATTTTTTCAAATATTTAAAATGCTTATCGTTTCCTTGTACTAAATTATGTATATCACATCTTTCCATCAATAAGTTTCTCTTTCACACGCACAAAGTTTGTATTATGTATTTTGTAGATATAAATTTGCATTGTTATAATTGTCACCTTCACAAACTTTGCATTGTTTTTTGCAAGGAGTATGCACGCTTTATACGTGCTCTCTAAATCATTTGGATTTTTTTCTATAGGATAAGCACTGCTCAGCATACTTTCACTACAAAACTATCCCTCACATTTTAGACATATTCTATGTTTCAAAGCCAATATAGCTTCTACACAGTAGATCAAACTCAAATACATATAATGCGGATGTACTAGCACAGACAGTGTGGTAGCCACAGGAAGGTGCAATTAATCCCCATCCTGAAAACATGCCCATGCTTTGTTTTAAGTCCATTGGTTTAAATGGAACAACTAATGTGCTTAAAATTAAGCATGTGCTTAGGTACGTGCATGATGGAGGCCAAAGGCAGCCATGTCCGTCTAGTTGTTTAGAGAGTCTAACCTGTCTGATTATGTTTGATTTTTAACATTAAAATATGTTTGAGCCTGGTTAGTAGAGAGATGTGCCTGAGCCAAACCTGAATTCTCAGGAAGCTCAAGTCCAGATCCAAGGTTTGCAGCTCTGACCCATCTCTTGTTAGTAATTAGAGTCCACAGAACAAGGCTCTCTGGCACCATACTGCAGCTCCTATTTCCGCTCTCTCACATATTACAAGCAATCCTATCATAAAGCATGTGTACAAAGGGGGGGAATAGTAAAGGTTGCCATGGCACTCACCTCCAAATTTCTTGACTTTTGTACAGAAACAATGTACTTGCATGATCAATCAAATACACAAGACATCACTAAACAAGTGAAGAATATTAGCCACACGTAGCGGAGGTCTCAGGACGTCCACCCATCACAATGGTTTCCTTTATAACTACATGCTTGACTACAAACATACACAAGCAGTGTGTCTGAACCAAAGTTGACTCCTTATGCCAACTGTGAAAATGGCCATTTAACTCAACAATATGAACTGCCCTGCCGCTTCTCTCACTTCACATGCTCAGGTTTTTCAGAAGCACTGAGTTTTATTAGAAATTTCTTCTTGGATTACCATTTTAGTCCCAAAGTTATCTCACTCACCCAGATCATCTATAGAAATTAACTCTCTTTGTTGTATTAATGAGATATTTGTATTTGTGAAAGATGTTTGATTGGCAGGCTGGGCATAGCTGACCTATCTTTTTCCATGTAGCTAGCAGTGCAGGAGGGGCTAGCAATGCAAAGTGCTTCACATTCCTCCCACTGATGAGACTCAACCTTAGATTTGAAGGTTAACCTTTGTGGGTGAGAGGGTGATAGTTCAGTGTTCGGCTTCTCTGGGGTTTGTTTGTTTTTTTTCCCCTAAAAAGTGTGCGAATTAATAGCAAGCACGGTGTGTGTGTTGTGATAGACACACTTATCCACCAGCAACTGTACTGAGACCACAGTTTGCTAGAGCTGTAGCCCACTGAATGTCTATCAGATAGTAAGTTTTCATCATTACCCATTAGGGCTAGACTTGCACTACTGACCTATTGTAAGGGTAATAAACTCCATAGCTCATTACCATTCTCTGAGGTATCCTGTCCTGCTGCATAGAAATGTTTGGATTTGGGCTCTAGAAGGGAAACTAAATCAATTTATTTACAGACAACTTTTCTTTAACATCCTCCCAAGCAACAGTGGTTTGTAAAGCAGAGCATACTAGCGAGTAAGCGGAGTCTATTTTAGGATATAACTGAAAGCTCCCTTCAGGGCCAATTATATTGGACTTCCCAGCAAGCCAGATGGGAAAACGAAAAGAAGAAATGTGTTCTTTTAACTCAAGGCTAAATTTAAAAGCCCCCCAACAAAAAAGCTAATTCTTTTTAATTATAACAATAAGGTATCAGATCACTGGAAGCAGGAACTGTTCATATAGCACACAATTACATTTTGTCCCAGTGGACAAAATCCTTATTTCTATTCAGAAACCAATTTTCACAGGACACACTTGGTTTTCCCTGTTATCATCTACAGAGCTATTTCCTGACACTGTAACCAATCTTTACTTTCTTAGGATAGAAGCTAAAGCATTTAATAGGATTATCATAACATCTTATTTATACCAGCCCTCCAATTTCTGTAGTATGCCCAATATTAAGAAGCAATTCTTATCCAACAGTCTAATTTAAATGGCTGATCTCAATGGCTAGGTTTCATTACTCATTCCCAATTCTGACAAGAGGGAAGCAGGGGGAGAAGTTAATAGATTATAAAAGCCATAAGGGACAACTGTGATCTTCTAGTCTAGATTTTTTTTAAAATTACACACACACCCCCCATGGTTGTTGTGCACTTCAGGTTCATTAAGATTTTGACCACTGATTTGAAGGGGGGCAGGATGGAGACCCAAAGTTATAATTCTGTTGAAATCCATTTGCTACTAGAAATCAGGACCAGATCCTGCATTCCCTATGCATCTGAAACTCTCAGTAAAATCACTGCGAGCTTAAGTGCACAAGGAATGCAGAACTGATCCCCTAACTAATGCAAGTAATATTCTGCCTCAGTTCCTGGTTGCAGAAATCCATTGTGTAAATCAAATAAGAAGTATCTCAGTTTGAAGCAGATTTTAAATACATTATAATTTTTAAAAGTGCCAATAATATACAGATTTCAAACTTAACCATGAGACATATATTTACATGAAACCATTTAAATGGCTTTTGTAATTAATTTGTTTTCTTCTTTTAATACAATATATTAAGCAGGATTATTTGTAATACGTATGGTTTTGCAAAAATTTTGAATTTAGATAGCAAAGTGGTCATTTTTAGCACCAGCAAATAGGTTCTTAAGTGATACTTATAGGATTGTATTATTTCTAAAAAAAACCCCACCATATTTTAAGTATCCACATTTATTCATCTCATAATTTTATGCAACAAAGAAAATGTCAGAAGGATAATTTGAAACAAATGATATATTTAGCATTTTATTTACAGACCAACTTCGACTCAGGTAAATTGTACTTTTGAGCAGATGAAAGACATTTAATTTTAAGGAACACAAGGAAATTAAAAGAAAAGAAAATCTGATTAATAGAAAATATAAGTAATTTATTCTTTGCAGTAATGTGATTTGACTTCAGTGGCATGGGCAGGGTTTAATTAGCTCCTGGGCAGCTGCCTGAATAGATTTCATGGCATATGTTTAAGGTGCAAGTGTTTATGGCAGGCCTTGGGAGAAATCACTTGAGCACTAAAGAGTCAAAACCACCTCAACTTATTTGGGGCAAGCAGTATATCTTTAGATTCATTATTTAAAAAAAAATATCTGTAGATAATGTGCAACCAGTTATCCTTGGACCTAGTAGATTAGAAAAACAAAAAAACTGTGGGCCTAATCATCAACTGGTGTAACCTGCCATAACTCCCTGCAACTCAATGGAGCTATGCCTTTTTACATCAGACGACAATCTGGCCTATCAAATAATATGTATTTAAAAAAAGAAAATAATTGGGCCCAATTCAATTTGCACTTGGCTGCAATAGTGCTATAATTAAGTAGGGGTTGATGTGTTCAAGATAAAGCTCAGAGATAATTTAAGTGTAAATAGAACAGAGGTAAATGGGGGGCATATCCTCCCACTGAGTGCAATATGTTTGCATGTCACTCCAAAGCAACATTCTCAAGAAAACCTGGAACACAAAAGCTCTTGGTCTCAGATGCCTGCAGTATGTTAAGATTGAGAACCAAAGTCAAACTTGCCAATAATTTGATTCTGACATGGACTTATGTTCAGTGATAAAACTCCATGCATTAGAGCTGCTCATGGGCACAGAGGGGAGGAGAAAGGCTCCTGTGCAGATGGACTGTGACTGGCTCCTGTGCAGATGGACAAGGGGTACGGGTGGTCCCCTGAGCACAAGAACTGCTCTGGGCTGGCACTGCCAACCCAAACCAATTTCGGAGAAAGTTCATAGACCTCCACCCTTTGTACTGGTCAGCAGAGCTCTTAGGGTAGGTCTACACATATGGTGGTGTGTTGAGAATGCACACCCAGTTAGCACAGTTTGCAGAACCATTGGCCATTATCTTTGAAAACTCGTGGCGAACGGGGGAAGTTCTGGATGACTGGAAAAAGGCTAATGTAGTGCCAATCTTTAAAAAAGGGAAGGAGGATGATCCTGGGAGCTACAGACCAGTCAGCCTCACTTCAGTCCCTGGAAAAATCATGGAGCAGGTCCTCAAAGAATCAATCCTGAAGCACTTAGAGGAGA